CTACCTGAGATAGAGCACCTATAATCACTAAGCTACATGCGCTCTTATATATGCACTAAGATATTTGATTGTGTAGTTTGTCGTGCACTATGTAATAGCACAAGTGATGAAGCAGAATAACAAACTCGCTCCATATACGACGCTATAGTTCCTCACATCGCCCTCGAGGAGGCTCGAGATCGAGTTGCCACTCACTGACTCAAGTTACTGTGCCGTAGGTCGTAACAACGGGGCAACCTTTGTGCGATTCATGGCAAGTTTGCTTCGCCTTCCCGGTCTAAGTGTCAGGGAAGGCAGCATTAGAAACACGTACTTGGAGGCAAGGATTACGATGGGATTGGAGTTTGTTCATATTGATCCGTAATTTTCGCAATTTTAGGAAGAAAGATTTATCGCTATGATTAGTCGCACTTGCTGGCTTACAAACAAAACATAAAGAGCTAGGGATATGAGTCAATGTGGATTTCATAGCATGGAAGTATTCAGTGACAATTTCATGTACGACTTTTTTGTGAACAACTTGCTTTTCTCTCCAAAAGTGTTTGCTTCAGAGGATGTAGTGGCGTTGTTTCTACTACTTATAGCGTTATTGAGGTGTCCTTTATCACATATTGCGGGATGGTGAAAGTCACTGTGGTTCATACGATGATGAAATGCACTGTCTGTTATTCCAGCGCATTCCTAAATAACCGTACTTATGTTGAACCTTGTTATAAGTACATTTCTTACTCTTTCTTTGGTTGCCAATAAAGTTTCGATAGTTGTCATTTCACATTTTTTTTGAGACCAGTGAAAGAATGCCTCTTGCTGCAAATGTATTTTCGCTTTCAGCCCGTCAGTCCAGAGTGGGTCAAAAGAGCGGAAACGACTCGCAATATCAACGACACATTGCTCGGGAAATGCTGGAATTAAGTGCCTTCACAAGCCCACATAGTCCTGCATAATTTTTCCCATTTACCTTCCTCCTTCTTGCTTCCTCCTCTCCTTTTTTATGGAGATACTTTCAATGAAATCAAAAATGCTAGTTTTTCGCCGTCATATTCTGAGATAACCCCAGCAAGATGCTGAAATAACTGCTTTATGCCCCTTGTTTCTTCGCAAAACATGCACCTCAATTTTGAGTGTTATAATAGCCTCTTGTGGATAGACTTGATTGTAAAGGGAACGCGCAGTGACACAAGTAACATATACGTAATTCATCATAGGTCTATTTGTGTCCTGCCATCCTTGTGTTGCTTGATGCAGTTGAAATGGGAGTTTCGCGTTAGTCTTAAGCACTCAGTAAGTATTAAGTAGAAGTAAAGTGCTTGATTTTGTATTGTTTTGTCACGCCGTTACACTTATGTAAGCACAGAAAACAACTTACACGTGTGTTATCACTGTATATAGAAATGATAAAAGAAAAACAGTAGCAATCTGCCGATATGTGACAGCGTATAGGCGCGAACGGAGTTGGATGAAAATCTGTAACACTGGAACACTGGAAAACTGGAACTATGGGACCATCAATAGTGTATAGTGAGAATAGGCTATTTAAGGAGCAACTACTAATGTATAATTTGTTAGGGCGATTCACTAAGGAGAAAGCGCGAGAGATTATAGGCGCGCAACCGATGGGAAAGAAAGTTTGGTGCACGAAAATTTACAAGTGCACACTTCGGTGTAAAAGATTAAAATGTCTCGTAGATGAATTTTGGTACTTTTTCGTTTGATAGCACAGTTTACTAAGCCTGTCTCTTTTGCTGGGAAAGAAAATTTCCATAATGAGTGTTGTTAGTATTCACTCAAAAGCTTACGTCTTTGCTCAGCACGGTGCGTGGTCGGCTTTTGAAAGTCTTTCTCGATGTTCCCTTAATGAAAGTGAAACATGCGTGTTTCACACACGCGTTTTTCTCGCAAGACTAAGCTCTTTTTCTGGCCTAAGAGACAGAGCTCTTTTTTGGACATTCAACAGCATAAGATTGGCTGACTTCAACGCTATGCGTATTTTCAGGAAAGACTTTTTCTCTGCTGCGTAGCAGGAAAAGAGAAGTTGATTCATGTACGCCAGCACGCCATCAGCATTCGAGGGCGCCTATGTGAAATGCAATTTTTATTATTTGATTAGGAATTGTTTCTCCGCTTTGGGAGAGACTCCAGCTCGAAGCCTAATACTGATATTGAATGACTTTCTTTACACGTTCGTGTATTTTGCGTTCTTCCAGCGAAGTAATAGTGAAATTGCGCGGTCGATGTCAGACGTAATTTTATTTTGAAATACACAGCGTTATGAAAAGGTCTCTCTGAAAACCCTCCATGTACGTGCTTTAGCTAGAGATTTACGCCTTCAGATGGTTACTAACACTCTTCATGAAAGTTCCTGTCTAACGAAGGTAATAGCCTCAAAAAAGTGCCCTACCAAACAGAAAAGAATCCAATGTTTACATTAGAGTGAACCTATCGCATCAAGGAAAAATTTATGACTAAGCAATGGGCTAGTTTGGAGTGAAGCCTATATAAAACTACATTTCATTTCGAACCAATGTTTAAGAATCTAGTTGAGAAAGGAATGATGTAAGCTGATGACAAGTAGTCAATCTAGAAAGCTCACGAATAGAAACTTTTTGTGGAGTAGTTACTATATATGTATAGATTTTGTGCGTGTTTTTACCTTTTCACTTATGTTATTTCAGCGCATATTTTTCTACTCTGTGCGTATCCCATCGCCATTCTTTATTCGCCTATTCGTAACCGGAAATAAGTGATCTTAAAAACTGGCACTTGTCTTTATAGTCAACATGCCACCTCTGTTGCGGCCAATTTGCAATCTCGTTTGTGAAAACTACAATAACAATCTCGATGGTTTTTGCCTTTACACGATGTGTTACTAATGTTCATGACACGCATACCACCAAATGTGTTGACATAAATGCATAAGTATAGGCCATAGTAGGTGATTTATGATGAGTTTCATGTACACCTCGCTCGGCAGAAGAATGCGGTATAATTAGGTAACGGAAAAAGCTCCCTAATATTGGCTAAAATTTAAGCTTGTTCATAAATGCTATTGGAACAACAATATGTCATCAAAATAAAGACTAATGCTATCGACGATCCTTTTCCAGCGATCAGCAACATTCCGGGTCTGTTTGAAATAGTTGATTCTTTTGCTTTATATCGGAAATTCCTAGCAAGCCTCTTCAGCTTGTTCAAATGTCTCACCTATGAGCGGAGCTGGACCGTAATCGAAAGGCGTAATATCTGAATTGTAGGTTGGTTACGGTAAGGCCTCGACTCTGTCCATTTCACCGAGCTTTTCCTTAGTCTTCATTGTGGTGGGATGTGAGGGCATTGTTTGACTGAAACAACGCGCGCTTTCGACGAATGTATATCGCATACCTTTTCCTCAACGCATCGTAGACTCGATCAGCTGCTCACAAAAGAATTCGGCCCTGATGGCGCGACTATTTGGAACAAACTAAAGTTGCGAGACACATTCAAAACTCCACCAACCACATATCAAAACCTTTTTGCCAGATGGATTTTGCCGTACAACTGTTGTCGGGGCTTTACCTTCCCAAACCAACCGTTTCACGCGATTGTGACTGACCAGGTGGGAGTTTCTCATCGAAGTATTCCAGAGATATTCCTATGAAATTACAGCAACCGACACTGCGTAAAACAAACATAAAATTTGAATTTTTACGGGTCCTCAACCCAGTATTTCACATTTGAATCATCGTGACTTGGATATTGTCGCTCATGTATTCAAATCATGTTTTTTTTTTTTGAAGAAAATTCCTAGATATTTTACGAGATGTTTCCGTCTCGAATGTCGCGGGCTAGAGAAGAATTGTACTGAGAGTTCATGGAAAAAGTGTATGAGTGAAAACAGCTCTTTAGTTCATATTTGTGCGGCATTGATCTGATTTTCCCAGCTTTTCAACAACTCCTAAAAAATATAAAAACTACGTCTTCATCAAAATAGTAATATTGGCGACTTTCTTAAAGAAACAGTTTAGAGAGTACGTGCTGCCGTATTATTTCTGCTATGATCATCGATGATTTTTCCCAGTTTGGTGCTGTGCCCTTCCCCAATCGCTACGAATTATTCTATATCGTAACAAAATTTTTTCGTTTCAAAAGTACTTGAACTGAAGATGAATGATGGTGGGTCTCTCTTGATAACTTCAATCGTATTCTTGCTATAAAACAAGCATTGATGTGGCCGTATCAGTTAGAAAAATCGGATAGTATATTTCGCATTTAGTCGCAGAAAGTTATCAGTTATGATACATTTGTTCAGAAATTTATTCGTTCGTCAGTTATAGATGTAGTCAGGTTGGTGTGGCGCAGTGACGAGAGGTGCCCTGTGACACATACTTACGTTGTCCGTGGTTCGGCCGCACCCAAAGCTCACAAAGCCGTCCACCCATCCGGGATCGGCCGATTCGTACCAGACGTGCTTGAGAGCGTGGCAGTACCACCATAATAGGTCCACAGAGTGCCGAGAACCATTGCGAAGGTGAGACATTCGTTCAATCACTTCAAATTACGCTTAGTGATGTCGAAGTCAAAGAGTATCATCTTGGATTGACCAACTGTAAAAGCTTTATCCTCCGTTTTATTGCCATAGTTAATTTGAATTCCACATTTTTACAGCTTTTTAGTAGCCTTATGACCTTATAAATATGCACCGAAAGGTACTGGGCGGCATGCAAAACACTTCGCCGAGGCGGGAATCGAGCCAGCGTGTCTCTCATAACGGAGGCGTATTCTACCACTACACCACCGAGACCATCGCTACTATATCACTTTTCCTTTGATATTTCCTATCAGAGCTGCTGGCAATGGGCCTTTGACAAGATTGTCTAAATAGGCACGAATCGGCACTGTACCCAGTTAATGCGACAGCGAGTCAAAATGTAAGGTTTGTCTGAATTTCTCATTTTTACTGCTTTTCATAAGTATCATGATATCATAAACATATATACGAGATCATTTTGTGGAATGAAAAACACTAGCTCCGTGCGAGATTTGAACCCGCGTCCTACCCTTTCCGAGGGCGCGTACTACCACTGCTCCACGGAGGTTACCTCTCTTTCTTACCTCTTTTTGGACCACAGTTCATCGCCGGAGAATGAAATAGTTGAATTTGTCAATCTAACAAGCATTGAAAAATTTAGCGATCAATTATATTGATTAAATAATGACAAAAGACTGTGGCTTAGGTAGTGTAGTGGTGGAAGACGAGTCGGCATGGCGTGACACGCTGGTTCAACTCCTAAATCAAGTTCGATACCTCCTCTGGTGATCAGCACTGATAGATTAATGCTCATGGTTAGCCCGTCGTAATAGATGGCAGTTGAAATTGAAAAAAACCGGTGAGGTGGTGACGTCATCACAATCGAGGTGGTCCTAGAGCGATTGCCTTGCGACAGTATCTTAATCACACGTCGACAATGAATAGAGGCGTATTTAAATAGGGAGCTCAAGTCTGCGTCTACTCATTTTCTTCTTGTTCTTCGTACTTTCATTTTTTTCTACTTGCTTTTCTGCTTTCTATCTTTTACTTTAGGACTTCTCCTAAGGTTATTCTCTTGTCGTTGGTTGTTTAACCCTTTGCGGACGGCGAGGGCCATTTTAAACCCTTAAGTTCCCGGTTGCCTTTTTCCTCTGCTTAGTGCTCGTTTTTACTAGAATTTTAAAGCTCACTCAAAAGCTTAAATCTTGGCGATCCAAGGCTATGCTTGGTTTTTGAAGAGAGCTTTTTAAGACGGTTTAGGAGCGAGAATGAAACTATCCTTCACACTGGGTTTGCATTGTTTTCTTGGTTTAGGTGTATGATTCTCTTTTTATTAGTCTATACTACTGCTCATGAACACGTGTGGCGTAAGGGTTAGAGGTGCCCTGCGTCGCACACGAGGTCAGTGGTTCCATCTCGCGCTCATGGCTCACCGAGCCATCCATTCCTCCGGGGTCGGTAAATTGGTACCAGACAGGTCTCAGACTTGTCTGGGAGGATAAGCAGCACTGACTCGGTTCAGCGGGAGGCCACCGCGAGTCATTGTAAAGGCCTGATATGCATTCAATCACCTCAAACGAAGTTAAAAATTGAAGTCGAATGCATGGCGCATCTCTCAGGGATCAATCACGCCGAGAGCTTTATCCTTTATTATACTACTGCTCATTCGATAGCACAAATTTCGTCGATTCCGAAGTTAATTTTGTTTTTTGGAAAGTCTTTCATAATGCGCTGTAAACGCTGAAACTAAGTTGACGTTCCATACTCGGAGTTTTCTTCGCATATAAAAATTGTATATGCACAAAAATATATGAGCGTATAGGGGAAATTAGGTCTTATCAGGTTAGTATAAAAAACTCAAGTTTTTTCTTTAGAGTAAAAAAAAATCTTTGGTAACCCGTTGGGACAGTAGCTGGTCGGTCACGCGGCGCGATTCGCAAGAGGTGCGCGATTTCCGTTCATTTAATTGGAGTTTTTTCTCCGTTTTCGTAGAAAAAACTCTAGGTTTTTAGTGTTATTCTGATAATCCAGAGTTTTCCCTAGGCGATCATATGCTTTGGTTCTTCTAGAACTCTTGTGTACGAAGAAAACTTTGACGGTAAAACGTAGTCTTCTTTCCGTTTGTAGAGCGCTTTTTGAAAACCTTTATAGAAATCAGACTTAATTTCAAAATGCTCAGGATTCATGCTAGCAAATAGTTACCAAGCTTCTAATGGAAAATCGTCCACAGACTTTAGCGAGCCAAAAATGTGCACCTGGGGTGAAACGTAATCTTATTTTCGCTGTTACAGCGCACTCAGAAGACCTTTCCGAAAGCAAGCGCAGTACTGAAATCAACGAGATTTAAGCTTTCAAACAGTTCCCAAAAGTACAGGAGAAAAGCTTTGTTCAGAGAAGAAGAACGTTAAATAGCTGTGTACCCGGAGAGGTACACGCCGCTCCGAACAGCTTGATCCTTTCTGGATCGTGGCTCGCGGCATCTGCATTTCTAGCCGGCAACTCTGGACTGACAGTCTCCTCCATCTGCTCCTCATCACGAACTCCGAGCGTGCTGCGTGTGACAATGGCAAGTTGTTGAGTGGAACAGTTGCGCGTCACTGCGTCTTACACTGGCAAGCTGAGGAAAGAGAGAGAGAGAGAGAGAGAGAGAGAGAGGTCAAAGATGCAGAGGCAGTGGTTCTACGGTCCCGAAAGGGTTGAACGAAAATCGTGAATAGCTTGCGAAATAATTATACTGTCGTCCGTAAAGGGTTAAGTGCCGTAAGACTATGACTTTCTCGCTTTACAGCTCATTCGTCAACTAAAGCATCACTGAGGGACTGATGACCCTGTGGTCATTCTGGCTTGCTCCATTACTGGGTTTCATTACGTCAATATGTCTATTTATTGGTGGGACAGGTGTGTTATCGTAGAGTTTGTGTCGAACTCTCGAGAGTTGCCGTCATCGCCGTCGTCATATTGCAAATCAATTTAGATGCCGCTCTGGCAGCAATGTCGATCGATCTCGGAAGTGAATTCATCAAGATTGGACTTGTCAAGCCGGGAGTACCGATGGAAATCGTCCTAAATAAGGAAAGTCGTCGTAAAACACCGAATGTTCTCGTAATTCGGAACAACGAGCGATTGTTTGCCGAAGCTGCAGCCGCAGTTGTAAGTGATGAATCTGACGAATCATACATTGGTACTTGGTTTGGACGGCGGCGTATTTCTAAGTCGATCTTATTCACTGGACAAGAACTTTCCGTAGGAGTGTTACTAGTCGTTCGAAATAAATCTTTAGCTACATCTCAACGTCGCCGATTTTTCAAAACACTCTTTTGTAATAATGTAGCATTCAGAATAGATTTTTGTTTTGAACCAGCCTTTCGTCTTTCTTTTCAACTAAACGTATAAGTCGTTGGAAGCACGAAATGCATATCAGCATGTAGAAAACTTTCCATATATCAGATTCAGTGTCTTCATCTGAAGTTTCAGTCAATGCGGCGAAAAAATCCCGAAATTGGTAACAATATCTTAAACGCGATCGATCGCCTGCCCCTGCACCGCTCGGCGAAATGACCGGTAAACAGGGTCGTCGATTATGTCAAACTCGATCGATTTTCCTTACGAAACGGTATTTCGAAAAGATAAGCACAACGTTGAAATCTCTGGAATTCTCGATATCGTATATTTATTAATAGGTTTACAAAGAGTTCTGTCCGGCGAGATGTAAAGCATAGGTCTTGTCTTTCTCGAACAGCGCTACCAAAAGAGCTCTTCCAGAAAGCAGACACATTTTTGAGTTCTTCGAAACGTGGAATATCGAGTGAGTAATAGCATACTAATTAACGAGCCTTGTTTAGCGAAGTATAGCTGAGAGAAAGAAAAAAACGCGTGATTGTATGGTACATGATTTTATTCTACATTTTACAACGCTATAATAGGATGTTTCGAAAAACTGACCACGCAGGACTCTAGCCAGAGATTCAAGCTTTCCGAAGATTGCTTTTCTGTAAAAAATTCCTGTCCAGCGAATGAGATCGATTTATTAATTTGTCGCCGTCTAACAAATAAGTACCCATACATTTCGTTACCGCATCTCACTCATCCCGGTGGCAAGCCCAAACCTATTGCGCCAGTGGGGCTCATGTTCTGCTGTAACTCTTTATGCGATATGAGGTATCGATCTATCAGTAAGCAATCGTCAACGGTTTGGCTTGTCAAGCTGATATTGACACTGAACCCAGTATCGCTGAAAGAGTGATAGGAGAACAGGAGCCTTTGCAGATCAAATGGTTAGCACGCACCCGAGGAAAGGGTGAGATGCGGGTTCAATTCCTATTTTTTCTTGCCTTTGATTTGGTTTTGAATTTCTTTGGATTCTCAGTTTCTTCGAATTAACTGTTTCAGGCGGCTAAATATCCGAATTCCGCCTACTGGTACATTCTGTCCCTGTTGGCGAAGGAACGTGGTGATCCCAATGTCGAGTTGTATAGAACTCGATTTCCATTCACTTCCTTTACTTTTGACGAAGTGAGGAACACTGTATTGTTCCCATCAGAGTATGTTTTGTCTTAAAATCAAGGATTTCATTACATTATGCCCAATAGTTATCTTTGAGCCATGCATGTCTTCTGCTGTGGACACCTACACGGTGCTATGCACGTTCTTCGACTTTTCACACTCTCGTCAGTAGTGCAGAACCTTTTGTCTTAGCTAGTATTTCGGGGAAAATCCCTCTAGAGAAAGACGCAGACGTACTGTTTACACGCTTAACTGAGTGAAAATATCACTAAATGGGCCATGTTGTACACTCTTCGTGAAGGAGGTTCGCTTCCTCACGAGAAGACTGGCTAAGACGAAATGCACTGTGCTACTGACGAGGGTGTGCAAGGTGGAAAAACGTGTATAGCACCGTATAAGCGCCCATAACAGAGCACGTGCATGGCTCAGAAATAATTACCAGGCATATTAGAATTTGGGCGTGGTCCTGAGAAACACTCAAAAGGTTGAATTTTTATCGCGATTGTCACTATAATTAAATCGTCCCATAAATTTTTGGTGTTAGAGCAGTAAATCCCAAATGCATTTACCAGATGTAACTAAAATTGCATTATTTGAGTAGATTCAACCGCGCATTTTCTTGCGAAAATTTTAGTACACAACTTGCCTGTACTTGCCTCAAGATGGGGCTGTCATGGGCACAAATTCGCTTAGTATTCATGCAGGAAAGGCGCGTGTGGGAAAACGCTAGTGAAGCGGCGCGCAAGATGGAGCTTGGTTCGATGACATGGTTGCAGAAAGTACATCTTGGAAGTTGTTCGCGAAGTTTAGAGCTGGAACAACAGTTTGGAGAATCAGTCGCGCTTGGGTTGTTGACAGAAAGTTTCATTAATCTTGCGCGCAACTTCACTATCATTTTCTCCTACGCGCTTTTTCTGCATGCGTAGTAAGGGAATTTGTGCCCAAGACAGGCTCCATCTTGAAATAAGTATAGGCAAGTTGTATACCAAAATGTTTGCAAGAAAGTGCGCAATTGACCTTCTGTATAGTAAGTTTAGTGTTTACTGCTCTAGTGCCAAAACTCAC